TTCTACGTATAAGTTATGTTTACATCTTCTTCTGAATGTATCTAATTTTGTTCACAAGAAATTTGGGTACAAAATTGTTAGCTTGAGAAGAGTGATGTTGATGTGTTGTTTATTCATTTATTAGAAAGAAGATAAGATGAGATGATAATAATACTTAAAGAATATTCAATGCTAGAAGAGTGATATGACATTCTTTGTTTGATGAAGTTATCCACGTTTATATATTTATGGCAAATCAAATGCATCAGCTGCTTTTTATTTATTTTGTGTGAACAAAACTTAATAATTGGTACTTAACACTTTTACTTTATATGGTTTAATGACATTTTTCCATCCACAAACTTTTAAAATACCATTTTATTACCCAAATTTATATTTCAACGGCGAACAGAGAGCAAATCGCTCCAGGCTATTGAGGCTTTTGAAGAATGGAGCTGATTGTTGAGTCTTTTATCGGTAGAAAGTTGAATTTTAGTGGTTAGGATTAATTAAAATTTAACTTCGGAGGGGCGGCTATGTAAACCCTAATTGCTCAATTGTCAAAGATTGGTAGAGGTCAATAAGAGCAGGGTTTGCAGGGTTTTGATGTAGGGTTGTAATGATACCGAAATTGAAAATAGAATATAAATTTGAGGAATAAAGTGGTATTTTAAAAGTTTGTAGGTGAGATTATTTATGTGGGAAAAAGTGGTTTACTCTATATGGATTATGGAATTTTCATTCTCCACTTCTCATTAGATATTGTTGGAGAATTTTCATTCTCCACTTCTCATTAGATATTGTTGGAGCACATAATTTTTGACTATTTCAACATTTCATCCGCTAAGATTGACTCACCGCTTCCGACGTGGCAAAATTTGGGTCCACTCAGCAAGAACCAATGGAAATCAATCGTAGGAAACCCTTCTCACTCTAATTAACTTACCAATAATAAAAAGAAGAGTAAACGATATCTTTCCACCCAAGGTTTGGCGAATCTCCAGTTCCCACCCCTAGTTTCATAAATTATAATTATTACCCTTAAATTAACACCATTACTTTTCTCACAAAGTAACCTCCACATCTCAAATTTCTCTCTAATAACCCCTAGAGGATCCTGGCCAAGTAAAAAATCCGGCCTGATTCTGACACCATTGGACCTCCCCGACACCACCATCAATATCCCCTTATCCTCCTCATGAAAACTTCTAACTTTTCCACTCGATTACACCTCAACGAGGTGCCGGAATTTTGTTGGAAAGGCACAACAAAACACAAAAACCTAAGGGAGAGGCGGTGGCGATTGGCGGGCAATTACAATCTGCGATGTTGGGGGCTTTTGATAGGAGAAAGCCGATGATGCTATTGTGGTGTTGAGGGTAGTTTCCAGTGTTGGGACCTGCCAAAATTTGGATGAAAAACCGTCTAAAACTAAGAGCAACGGCCGATGATTAGGGGGTTCAATCAGGCAAGGAGGTTAGGGGTTTTGATGTAGGGGTTGAGAAGATTGTAATGGTGGTCTTGAGAGAGGTCGACTGCATCAAGAACAGGCTGGAATAGCCTGAAATCGCCGGTGGGGTAAATTTGAGAAGTCAAAGGTTATTTTAAAATTTTTCGGTGAGGTGAATTTGAGAAGTGAAGGGTTATTTTAAAATTTTTATCTTTGAAATGACCATTTTACCTTTTTAACTATTAAATTAAACAATTTTCTATAAATTTAAGGGTGGAAATTGTAATTTATGAAATTAGGGATGGGACTATAGTTTCGCCAAACCTTGGGTGGGAAAACAGCGTTTACTCTAAAAAGAAAAACCCACAACAAAGAAAACCTGAAGAGAAACCTCGAGGAAAGAGGACTGGGCTGCGTGTTGGTGGCCCATTAAAACCGCGTGATGTAGTGACAAAGAGGAAGTCAACGTCAATCTTAGTCATCAGATGCTGATGGTCGGGATTATAGTGCCACATCAGCAAAAGTAGGTCCATTAAATAAAAATCAAATCCTACGGAATATATGGAGGAGTGATCTGGACGGTTGAAAAAGCATGATACCAGCACCACTACTACTATTACCATCATCATCGATCCTTCGTTATCTTTGTATTATTGTACATGCATGACATGATGCATCATCTATCTGCACTTACTTTTCCACGACAAAGCAATTTTCTATATACAACTCCCACCATTTGTTATGAATATTAGAATTTTCTAGGGATCCAATCACCTTTTTTTACCATGCTGTGGATGCATGCATATAATATAATAGGAGAGGTGTATAAAAAACTTCAAATTTTAGACTTTCGACGAAGTTTCTCTTAATTTTTTCAAACTTGTGGTGGTTAAATGAACAATTTATAAATTTCAAGGGAGCTAAGTGAAATATACCTTTATGAAAATAAAGAACAGTATAATTTACAACTATTGGAAAATTATACATCATCATATATATTCATTATCTTATTAAAAATAATTTCAATGTGATATACTTTTCGTAAAATTTGTATTAAATAGCCCCCATTTTTCTACTAAATTTGAAAGTAAAATCTTTTTAAAAGTCTTGTAAACTATAGCCGTCTTCTCATTTTATAGACAAATTTTCCTTAAATATATTCTCTAAAAATTAGTAGAACGTAAGCAAAAACTCTTAGTACAAAATATCCATATTTGCATACAGTATTGAGTAAACTTTTCATGAATATTTTTTGCCACAAATGAGAATAGATTAATTCTTTTACATTTTTACATCCATGGAAGTTAGATTATTATATTCAATTACCACTGGATGGCCGAGTGGTTCAATAGAGACTCTTGAGTATATTACTCAAGACGTTTTGAGTTTGACTCCCTCCTTGATTGATAATAGGGATAATCACTGGAACTCTTATCCGGTTGGTAGTTTCAGGATCCTGAAGTATTAGTTGAGGTGCACGTAAGCTAGCCTGGATACCCCCAATCATAAAATAAAAAATAAAAAAAAAGTTAGATTATTGTATTATTGAGATTCTCTGATTAATCACTGCATTTAAATTACTAAAGTGCTTAAGGATAATCATCCGAGCTATCAAATAAAGTAAAGACGAGTGGGAAAGATTCCAACTATGTTGCGCAAATTCTTAATTATTTATATTCTAAGTGCTACAAAATTAATATATCAGATATGCAAGAAGAATATATGAGATGTAGTTTAACTATACATTTCACCTGCATGGAGTTATTATTATATATTAATCTTCTCTTTTGTTTATTTTTTCTGGTATTGCTGCTATTGCATGCATGAAGCATCGTGCAACCTTCGCACAGCTTGGTGATATATATATATATTATCCGAAACGTGTAACATTTGATTTGTTTAAACGTGAAAGATTCTAAGAATGAAGAGTACTGGGTGGTGTTGGAATCTAATTCCTTATCAATTAAATTTTGACAGTGTACGTAGGGCTTTTTTTTTTTTTTTGCAAATTTTCATGGCAAAAGCCATTCTTTCATTTTTGCAGATTTAGTTGGAAAGGAAGAGAAATGGCAGCCTTAACACATTCATTTGTCCCCTTCCAGTACAGAGATGGCGCAACTTTTGCAACTGATTAGTAATTTTTAAACAACATAAAATAATGATAAATAATGAGATTGATAGAATTAGTAGGTCCCAAAACGTTGCAGGATCAGGAAAGAGACGACTACTTTTCGTTACGACAGCCTTGTGGGGATCTTAAAATTGATGTAAATGGGGACGACATCAAGAGGTCAAGTGGATGACTGGAAACATGGTTCCCACACGGACAAGGAGAGAGAGAGTTGAGACTGAGTGTGGTACCATTTTTCTATCTGTGTTCGGCTGTAATACCAGTGGTTGGCTGCGGCCTTAATTTTTCTACATCAAAAGAGATACTATTACGAAACTTTACTTCATAATTGCACATGTTTCTGACATAAATTAGATGCTTACTGCTCATTTTCTGTAGTTTACAAGACATGGCCTTATATAGCGCACCTTTAATTGAAGGCTTTAAAAGAACAAGCATGCAGTTGTTTCTCCCATTTTCACATCAGTCAACAAAAATTAATCGAGCTCTGATATCCCATGAAAAAAGATATTACATGCGCAGTACTTCCATTACTATTGGGACCAAGAGTTGTTATATTCCAAGAGATTAAAAATTTCATCAGTCTCTTTTCTCTTCAGATTCATATCACAAAAAAGTTAAATGTAATACACGAGCAAAATCTGAGGTGATGGGCCTCATTGCTCAACCTTTCGGTCCTCCACCACCAGCTCCTAAGTCTGTTTGAAATTACAGCCTTGGACCGCATCATTGCTACATCTATGTTATAAAGCTATGGACGTACCAATACCATGGGGTTCCTCCAGCTAACTTAAAATGTGCTGGCCCCAATAATATCGAGGCTGAGTTGACTGCTTGATCTTCATGATCTGTATAATTTATCGGTGTTTTAAAACCCGACCCGATTCAACCTATTCAATTGAAACCCGAGGCCTTCATTGGACCAAGTTATCAATTTTACTGTTTATTAGACACCCTAGGAATTGGACCACGTGAGTCAGAATAATCTTTGAGACTGCCATGGTTTATAGTATATAAATAACCCAGTTCATCAGTCAGAAAAATCGATGTTTCTATAGGCATGTTTGGCTCGGCTTTTCAGAATAATCTTTGAGACTGCCATAGTTTATAGCATATAGGAAGGTATCCACCTGGTTTATAGCTTAATTCATCCTCGGGCCTGAACTTCAGAGTTGCCATTTAAATCATGTACGTATAATTTTGAAATATCTGGTAAAATCATTAAGCAACACCAAAAGTTTCTAATTTCTGCAAAAGATCATTCAGTACGATAAAGCCAATCCAAATCACACATACACAATTGATCAAAATCAAATAATGAAACTTAAATTGAATATGCAAGGTAGATCAAATGGTACTGTCTCTAATGGAGACATGAAATGCAATCCCATAAACCAGCTTCCAGTGGTAAAGAAAAAAAAACACTGAGATACATGACCATGATTAGATTTCTTGAAGACAAGATGATGGACACAAGAACCTACACTTCGCAGAGCTTAGTTCGAAGGTGCACAGCTCTGTGCTATGATTTTAATAAAATATGCAAATTACATGTTTAAGTAACATTTCAGATCATGATTCTTCACTGCATCCTAACTACGCCACGAAAACTCTGATCACATATTATTGAAAATCCACAAGTTCATATGTATTGATTTAAACTACAAAAGTTGCGAAGTAAAAATGCCTCAAAATTTTCTAACAGTTGTACATGAAAATCAAAATAGAAAAACAACAATTAGATCGCTTTCTCACAGCTAAATATTTCAACTGATGAACTTGAAAGATGATGTGCAGGTTTAAAACATGCTTCTTCCCTAAATCTGAACTACTTCCTTCCCTTGCTAAGCCTCTGCAGGTGGTAATTAATGCTTCCAAAAGGCTTATTCTTTTTATTTGTCTGCAACAAAAGCAACCAAAAACTTTAGGACCTCTATATGCATTAGATAGCCAAAGAAACTACTAAATATCTTAAAATAAGGAAAATATTCTAAAGTATATAAATTATTTAAAGAGATAGGATACAGAATTTTTATGATAAATCAAAGTTACATCACCTGTGCATCCATACAGGTACTCAAAAGTTCCTTTTGCCGAACGCACTTCTCATCATTCATCTGGTTAACAGACAAGCAATTAAGAAATGTTATCATTTCCTTCATGCAAGGTTTGGCGACATTCCCAAATTTCTTCGAGTTTATATACAGCGAACCAGCTTTTCGGCCCATTACTGTATTGGTTCAGGCTGCAGATATCAAAGCATAGTACTATCAATCACTCTTTCAAGAAAAATCTGAACCACAGTGGAATGAACCCAAAAAGATACAAGGGTTAAAAAGCGAAAAGGATAAGGAGTAACAAGACAAGTAATGCTATTTTAAAGAGATTTTGTTAAGTTCATTCCTGTACATTCATCTGCACAGATACATTTCCATTTGAAGAACAAAAGTTCAACCATGTTGATTGTAAGATCAACTGGCTACCCTGAAAAATAAAATTTTCGCATTAATAATCACCTTCACATATGCAATTTACATTTTCCAATCTGAAACTCAACAACAACTGGAAAATAACTTCTGGTGTAAGGATATATATACCTTTAGAAAGGCCAGATAAAATATCTGACATATTTGCACACCTTTTAGCTACCAAAATCATAGATAAATAAGGAGCCACTTTTCCTTGGCAGCCAGGCTCAATCCAAGGATTCCACTTATTCAGGTCAGCCAACCAGGCCACTTAAAGTACAACAAATGTACTAGATTTTAGTTCCATTAGCCTCTCTTACAATACATATATATCCAAGACACAAGAACCCAATGATATTGTTACTGGGGTTTAAAGCACTACTAAGTCCAGAAGTTAACAAGCACAAGAAAGAACTGACTTGAAGATTGCAAGAAAGCTTGTGTCAAAACCACAAATATACAGATTCAGAATCTTTCACTCAACAAAGAAATTCAATCTATCCCCCTCAACTCCCAAAAGTAGATAGCATTTCCTAATTGGTATCACTTAAATTAAATCAATTTGGTAAGGGAAAATCAAGCCACCTTTGTACAAATTTCTCAACTCTCTAAAGTTTTGAACTAATTGAATTTATTTCAGTTTTTCTTTCACATTGCACCATAACGGGACTTGGAACAATCAACCAATTAGAGTTCCTAACACTACTTGAGAAGTAAAAATTGAAAGCACCCGAGTCCCGATATCCGAAGGCAGCCATGTTATTATGTTAGGCCAAGAAAATTCACGGAGCCCTTCCAGGTATAACTGTATGGTTCCCAGATCCATAAAACATAAAAATCTAACAAATCTAAAAATAAGAAAATCTTATAAGAGATTATTGTTGAAAAGTCAATTGAATACCTATATGCATCAATCAAATAAATATCCTGCCAAATATTATCAAATGAATACATAAACCTCTTTTTAAGATAAAAAATTTGAAAAAAAAAAAAAAAAAACCTGTTGAAACTTGTACGTCGGTTTCTCGAGCAGCTGGACGAAATAAACGGCCGAAAGATTCGCCGGCGTCGTGTCTGTAGTTCGACAGCCTACCGGAGTCCTTGGTCCACCTCGGCTTCGTGGTGAGCGGCGGAGGAGAGCGACTCTCTGATGTGTTGATACAGATTTTATCTGCTATTCAGACGTAGTCGACTTAGGTATTGTTCTGCTTTTTATTTTTTATTTTTTTTCCTTTTTAATTTAACATAATTAAATTTTAATTAATTATACCCCGATCTCGATTCTCGACTCTCGAGTATTCTCGATTAGTTTCCGGGTCAATCCATAATCCAGATCCATATACCGCCTCAGAAGGCCCAGGCACCTCCGGTCTGGGCCGGAATTTTTCAAACCACAAATAGCTCACTCCGATAAACTCCAAATGATCCGAAGTGGGCACACTATATGATTTTACTTGGGCTTATGTGAGCCTGATTGGACCAACTTCAATTGAAACTATCGATAACCATTATGAATATCATTCCTATCTATTTTCCTAATTTTATAATTTTCTTAATACAAAAGTCACATTCCTCACCAATTTCAGCGTTATGGAAACATAATTGTAATACACCACTAATGGGTGACTAAAGGTCAAAAAGCAAAGAAAAATCTAATATGATCTTCCAAGTTTAAGTCTCTTTAATGGTGAAAGAGCAAGAAAATTATCTAACATGATCTTCAAAGTTCGAGTCTCTTTAATGGTCAAAGAGTAAGAGAAGAATCTAAAATGGTCTCCCAAGTTCGAGTCCTCTTAACGGTAAAAAAGTAAGAGAAGAATCTAACATGGTCTCGTAAGTTTAAGTTCCCACGATTGCTAATTGAGTGGTCATTTGAGATCTTACCCAACTGATAGTTTGTTAGAACTCAAGCCCAAGAGAGAATCCAACGACTGATAGTTTGTTAGAACTCAAGCTCAAGAGAGAATCCAACCCAAAAGATTTGTCTGATAGGTGGGAGAGCCTCTAGGCTTAAGTACCACACTTGGTAGGTGTGAGATTCCAATATGAGATCCTAACATAATTTCAAGGTCTTGGGAGATTAATTGAGGTACGCACAAATTGACCCGGACACCCCTGATTGATTTTACTTGGGCATATATGAGTATATGACCCTGATTGGACCAAACTGCAATTGAAACAATCAATTATAACCATTATCATAGACAAAATCATGAATATCATTTCTATTTATTTTCCTAATTTTATAATTCTTGTAATACCAAAATCACATTCCTTACCCATTTAAGCGATATGGAAACATAATTGTATTAAACCACCATTGGGTGGCTTGAAGGTAAAAGAGCAAAGGAGGATCTAACATGGTCTCCCAAGTTCAAGTCTCCTCGATAGTAAAAGAACAAGAGAATGATTTAACATGGTCTCTTGAGTTTAAGTTCCCACGGTTTCTATCTATTTGCCTAATTTTATAATTTTCTTAATATAAAAATAACATTCCTTACCCATTTCAGTTTTATGGAAACATAATTGTAATAAACCAATGAGCCTAAAAGTAAAAGAGCAAAAGAGAATCTAATATAATCTCTCAAGTTCGTCCCCTTGATAATAAAAGAGCAAGAAAATGATCTAACAGATTCTCTTAAGTTCGAATTCTCAGAGTTGTCAATTGAATGGCCACTAGAGCTCTTACTTGGCTAATAGTTTGTTAGAATTTAAGCCTAAGGAAGAATCTAACCCAAAAGATCAGTCTGATAGGTTGAAGAGCTTCTAGGCTTAAGTATTACACTTAGTAGGTATGAGATCCCGATGTGGAATCCTAACATAATTCAAGGCCCTCTGAAGGTTAGCTAAGATACATATACTATGAACATCTCTATTCATAAAATTAAAAAAAAAAAAAAAAAGCATAATTGTATCATCATGTATAACTATTTATAATATCCGAATCTTGCGTTACATTTTTGTAATTAGATTTCGTGTACCTTCAACTGACCCATTTTACTTGTCTTTCTTATCTAGTAGCAATGATTTTAACCGTGCTAACATTCTCAAATCAACATCTCCTTGTGCAAATTGTTATTACTTATCCAGCAAGGTAAAGGGCAATATACCTACTTCCAGCTGGCAAACAAAACGGAGCATTTCATTTTTTTTGTTTGGTTTAAAAATTAATCCAATCTTAATGACTTGTCTTCTTGTCTTGGTCTTTCTGTACAATCGATTTGTTTTAGGCTATGTTGCCTGAATTTGTAGATATTATTAGTGAATATCTCCAAGCTTCCTCGAAGCTTCGTCGTATTAAACACTATAACAAAAGAATGTAACCATTTTTGTACTTCTTTCCTGCATCAGAAATTTACTGAAGAATGTAACCCATTTCCTATAAACATTTTCAGGTTACCCATTTAATACAAGTATTTTTGGCAACACTATTGTATCTTTTTTTTTTCAGTGACCAAGAGTGTTCGGGTCAGTTTGTGCACATATCAACTAATCTTTCAGAACCCTGAAGTGAACGACCGGGTAAATCTCCTCAGTTGTCATCCCTAATACTATGATGAAATTAATTCAGAGATGAAAAATGATATTGAATTCATTGAATTAGAAAACAAAGTTACAACAGTGTATGTTTATATAGAGCAGTCCTATAATAGACTTAACAAACATTAACTAACTCAAAGAACTGATTAACTAACTTCATAACAAACTAACGACTACTTGAAACTAACTTCATAACAAACTAACGACTACTTGAAAGCAGTTCATTCTTCAATAATTAGTGTTTGAAAAGACTTAAACTTAGGTAGCCATATTGAACCTTTTTACTCTGCTACAATAGGGCACCTAATGGTGATTAACATTAGGTATCTTTAAAGTCCACCAGCTTAGGTTAATAAGTTTAGTGGAGAAGTCAAGTCTTAACTACGCTCCTCTTCTACAAACTTCTAACAAATAGAGAGTGGTTGAGGTAGAAATTAGGTCAATGGTTAGTTCAAATTGGACTGGACTGGTCCCCATCTTTGCATTTTCTGGAGGAAACTCTGGGATGATATTTTTCGAGGATCATATATTTGAAATCTGAAATTTTGCAAGATTTTGCAGCGGCTAAGTTGGGATGAACCGAAAGGAAAAGAACAAAAACGGCAATATGGCATCAACAAAACAAGAAGTCGTTCTGGTTCAAATGAAAATGGGCCCAATGGACCACTTCTTCTCACATGGAGTCATCCTCGTCCAAACAACACGTCTAATCCTCCACATCTTAAATATGGACAACATTGAAAACGAATGGTAAACTGGGTCTTAGAAAAACTTGAACCTTTCAAATTATGCTCACTGAAATTCTTCTATACGTTGGAATAGCACTATTTTTGGACCGTTCTTATTCTGAAAGATTCAAATTTTAAAAAATTGTATGAACAAGGGATATGATACTTGAAGGTGGGGGCAACTTTTTTAGGGGAATCGCGTGATAACAGCGACATTTCTTGTTGTTTTAGGTAAAAGTTCATAGACTAATTCACAACACCGCACTTCTTTCTACTTTGTCATCTTTTGTTGATTATGACTTTCTTCAAAAGCAAATATTAAATGCCCCTTTCTTTCTATAACAAATCCAAGACAATGTTCCATTTTTCTTTTCTTATGACTGGGTTGTTACTTGACTAATATCGATCGAATAAAAGTTCTAGTAGCTACTCTGATTAATAACTGAAAAGGAACTCAAACTTAAAGCTTTTTGAGTAATATATCTAGGAGTTCATATCGAACCCTTCGATCATCCAGAGATAGTTTACTTCAAAAAATTTATCCATTACAAATCCATTTGTTCAGGTAGATGCAAATTTTATAAATGGGTTCCCGTATAAACTGGGTTTAACAACCATTTTTATCATAGTTGGGTTGGAGACTCTTTCGATCACGCGTGTTGACAAATAAAAGGTAAAAAAGGGAAGGCATAAATTTCCAACAACTTTAATCAGCCAAAGAAAGAGGAAAAGGGTAAGCTTTACCAGGCTACCATACCAGCAGCAGAAGCAAAAGGATTCCTAATGTTTTGATTAGCTGTAAAACATTTTGAGCTTCAGCGCGTAATAAGGGCCACAAAAGATTTGTTTAGTTATAATATAAAATATAATCTACCATTATCTTTGCCGCATGTAAAGTTGTCTAAACTTGATTGATCTGAAGTCTAAACTAATCCAAAATATATATATATTAATTAAGAAGCCTTCTGTTGTTGTGTACAGATACCATACAAATATATTAAGAATACCCAGAAATGAGAAGAGATACAGATACTAAGAAGAAAGAGGAAGGCATTGGGAAAGTGGTCGAAGCAGCATGTTAAAGAAACAATAATTACATGCCCTTCTCCAATGGGAAGTAAATGATAATAAACAATCAAGCACATGAAGAATTACAGTTTAAGTTAACTAAAGAGACATGGAATGTGAACCAAAATATAAACATATTAACCCCACTCACCTCCACTTTAGTCTTTAATTAATTAAGCATGTTTGCAGGAATTGTCTCTCTGCCCAACAGTGTTTAGTAATGGAGATTGGTCATTAACTATTTTAACCTAACAAAAAAGTAAGAAGAAGAAGAAGAAGAAGAAGAAAGGGCAGTAAATTTTTAGAGAAGCAGCTCAGATTAATACACAAGTATCTTGAAAAACTAATTGACCAAATCAAAAAGAATAAACAGAAACCATTTCATGTTAATTATGTAAGGGAATCAACCTAATTATGAAGAACGGGCTTCTTGTCTAGTGGTCTGAATGTTGTTGGTGAAGTCGCCAATGGAAGTACCTGAGAAGTGCTTGAAGGAAACTGCGGTAAATGTTGACCAACAATGAACTTAAGAAAAGACCCTTCTACTGTGTCTTCTGTTGAAATGTTAAGAGCTTTAACACCAGAATCTTGAAGCACTGAATTCTCTTGCTTAGGAATCCTTTTCTCAGCATCTTCCATCAATAATCTTTTCCACAATTTCTCCTCAGCATCTCTCAGAAACTTGAACTTTGGAGGAGGGGAAGACCTCAATCCATTCAAGCCAGCTGCTCCTGATGATTCAAAAAGAGGGTTGAATCCACGGTGGTGATAAGAATCCAAAGGATTCAAAGGAGACTTGAGTGGTGAAGAAGCCAAAGGAGTTAAAAATGGGGAGTCGACTGTAACTAAAAGATCACTCAAGCTTTTTGCTCTGGAACCTTTTCTGCTTCTATCACCTCCTCGAGATTTCCCATCATCAGACTCCATATCTTCCTTTGTTTCCTCTTTGATTGTGAAGAGAAATCTTGGAGGCCCAGCTAGATTGTGAAGTCTCATGAGCTCTGCAACTTCACTTTCATCTCCTAAAGCTTTTATTAACAAATCTTTGCTTGTCCCTAACTCAGGGTCTGGTTCATGCGCATTAGCAACTGGGTGGCCTGGCACTCTATCTTGATGAGTATTGGTACTATGGTCTGGCTCTCTATCTTGATGAGTATTGGTACTATGTAAAGAAGAGGGTTTTTTCCAGCAGAAAAGTTTAATTAACTCCTTTGCATGGTTGCTGTAGTCAGCTTCTATATCTTGTCTGTGTGTGATTCTCTTCTTCCACCATAACACATAATATAACTCTGCAACAAGAGCTAAGAGAAGGCAACCAAAAACTAGGCTCAAACCAATACCCAAACCACTGAAAGATTTCATTTTTGCCTTCAAATTCACATCCCAGTAACGAATACTCTTGGTTTTTGAAAATTGCTCAAATAGATTTACTCCAAATTCCAAAAACAAACTCACTTCAAAAATCACACTTTTTGAGGAAAATGAAGAACCCAGAAGGGAGTAAGTAGTAACTACAATATACAATTAATTACTTTGTTAGAGAAAAACAAAGAAAACAAAACTCTCACCAGAAACTGAAACAACCGGAAATAACCTACTATTACTGCAATTTCACATCCTCATTTGACAAACTATGGTAAGGCATTGAGGACCATATATATATATTGCCTTTAACACACGCTACAAGGAATCTGGACTTTTATGGAAATTCATTATATACAAAGATATAAAAAATAAAAAAAATTACGAAATCCGAAAGTCAGAAACGTTGAATATCCAATGAAAATCAAAACTTTAGCTAATAAATAATAGATTTTGAAAAATTGGGTATAAAAACCAAAGAGCTGAAAAAGAGACACTCATATGATTGGGAAATGGGAAAAATCTTGTACACAATGTAGAGATGTGGGTATTAACGGTTGGACAGCAGTTCACATGGGCTAGCAAGAGCGTATGTGTCTGTGTCATTTAAATATTTAATCATAAAATATAAAAATAAAAATGTTAAAAAATAGAAAATAAAATAAAGGGTAGTGATTGCATCACCCAGTCGGTGCATCAATGGTTAGTCTAATAGGCAAATTGGGGTTTAGAGAAAAGGGACAAAAGAACACACATCAAGATCTTAGCTGGCGTTTACTTGATAGATAGAATATGACCAGCTAGGGTGTGATCAAGCTTTTTTTAAAGCTTGTTCTTAATCTTGGGTAACAAAAATGTCAATCAACGTATTTGTGTGAAACATCTAAAAGGTCCAAAATAAGGGGCGGTGTAATATGAACATTTGTTAATGCTCTTAGATGCTTTTTCTTATATAATAAGAAGTTGCTTGGACCTTCTCATGAGAACAAAGCTTAGTTGGTAAGTTGTATTGGTTCATACTTCCCACAAACTATTGGGGTGTCCAGATTAGTTTAAGTGTACCTCAACTAATTCACTGAGACCTTAGAACTATTGGTCGAATAAGAGTTTCAATGGCTACTTCTATCAGTATCCGAGGGGGGACTCAAATTTAAGATATTTTAAATAATACACCTAAGAGTCTCTATTAAACCACTTAGTCACACAGAGGTAGTTATTATTACAGATTCTTAGGTGGTTAAAATTAGAGAACAAAGTTTATATTATCAATAGAGTCATTTATGCAATAAAAATGACTTTTGACTTTGGATATAACGTGTATTTAATCCTAGATTAGTGGACATATAGTTGATTGAAATCATTATGTAAATAGACTTGATTTTTTATTCGGTTGTTTAAAATTATGAGATGGGTTTTTAACTTTTGGAAACAAAATAATTAAATGACCTTGACTTGAAAAAAAAAAGATTAATTTCATTCGTCCCCTAAGAGATAGTTAAGTACAACTGCTCCAACGATTTTCCGAAAGCATCTATATCTCCCTGAAATAAAAAAAATAAAAATAAAACCCTATAAAATTATAAAATGCCCCTTATAAATATCAAAAAACCCCTATGATCAGGGGTGTTTTTTAAAGTTTCCGAAAATTGCAGTGGAGCTTTAAATAATCCCAAAAAAACACGACTATACTTTTACTTGGGTTGGGCTAAACAGATTCGGGTCCACTACATGCAAAAAAATAGTACAAGGCCGTAAATTAAGCAGAGGTAAAATCATAAGCGTGGCCCATGTTGGTTATAAGGGAGGTCCAGTGGAGCCATTAAAGTGATAGATCAATGATCAATGAGGCGTTATGATTTGATTTAGGTGATCGTTCAATAATGCATGCCTGTCTATCCTATTGTATTTGCTGTAGTTGGGCAATACGGCAAAAGTCTCGAGTCAGACTCGGACCCGCATCCGCATGTGCACGTCTCTGCTGCCTGACGCGCACCCTGCCACCATCGGGTGTATGGAATGGGCTTGGACAATCAAGTAACACTCGTAGGCCCAGCTTTTAACTAAGTCCGTACTGTATTAATTTGTGTCATCTCCTGAATCCACGTTTAGGCTTGAATCAGTTTTTAGCAATGACAGTGGTTTTCTATTTTCATCTAATGAAATTTTACGTTTATTTTTTATTTCTATCTTCCTCTTTAAGGTGTAATCATACTTTTTTATTTTTTTATTTTTTTATGACTAGGGTATTAGATCCAATTTACATACATTTTAACTAATTTCTTAAAACTTTAAAATTATCGATTAGATAAGAGTTTTTGTAACTACTTTTATTAGTAACTGATGAGAAACTTAAATTCAGTATCTTTTGAGTAATATATCAAATAATCATTATCGAACTAGTTAATCACCGAGAAGTAGTTACGTGTAATCATACTAGACTTAACCAAATAATTCACAATGGTCTATTATATTCTCTTAAAAAAAAAAAAAAATAGGATAATTATGGGATTGAAACTAATTTAATAACACAATCACCCCATAGAATTTGGATTTTAGTGAATTATTGGTGTTTAACACGATCAATAGAGTCTGAAGAGTTGGGCCGACCCCGAATCAAGGCTTATCTAACAAAATTAAGTAATTGAAACAGGGAGAACGACATGTTCCCACCCAAGGTTTGGCGAAACAACACTTTTTCATCTATTAAGTTTTAAAACAACACTTTTTCACCCACTGTTATGTTCCGTTAGAAAAATCCATCACTATTTGGCCGCAAAGACGAAAATATCCTTCATTATTTGGGTTAATATTTTTTTATTATTTTTTATCATATCACAAGATTCAATTACCAATATATCCACTCTTTAACTATGAAATTATTTATATGCCATCAACTATGTATAGGGATCTATCCCTCCAATTTTTTTATTAAAAATAATGTTTTACTGGAATTTCAAAAAATTATATACAATTTTTTTTTTTTTTTCACAAACTCAAAAAACAAAGATCAACGGTACCAACTTCCACCATAGGATCTAAGTGGTACACCAAAAGGAACATAATCAACATAAAACTTAATATAACTTAATCGCAGAACTTGAACAGTGCAACCTAGCTAGACAATTCTAAAATAAATGTTTCTTTTTCATCAAATACAACCAACAAACCACTCTTCAAGCTTGAAGCACCGCTTGTTGGAGCAACAGCCGGACCCTCAAACTCCACTAGAGAAGGTGCCAGAAAAATGAGCCTATGCCTTGAAAAAGAAGCCATGGATGATGGAACTAAGAGAGAAGAAGCTTGAATTGGTGGATGTACGAGTGTGAAGATTTGGGGAGAAAGTGAGGGTGAGATCATAAAAATTAACTTTTAATAAGCAAAGACTGACATTTCGCTATCGAGCAACATCTAATAACCACTCTATAATTCATGCAACTCACACAGTTCCCTTTTCCATGATTTTTGGGATAACTTCATATAAATATCTATAGCCACGAACAAGGTCACGCGACCAGCAAAGCAAGCACTTCGTATCTTCTCCATGCCCAATCCAATAATTTCTTAGCCTTTGTTTGAAAAAGTTTTTTTCCCAAAAACACATGCCAAAGAGCTGTAGATGGAACAAAAGGAAAAGAAAAGAGAAAGGTAAAACCTACCCGACCGAGATTTCAATTTTAAAATTTGGATTTATGAGGCTTTTAAGTAAATTCACCGTCTTGTCCTTCTTAAGAACGGATATTTCTAACAGAATATGACGGTGGGTGGGAAAGTGTCGTTTTGACACCTGATGGGCGTGAATAGTCATTTTTCCAAACCTTGGGTGGGAAAATGTTATTCTCCCATTGAAATATTAGAAATGAAGGTAAGTACGAATGCTGCAGGACAGACGTCATTATATCCAACCAGGGATGAAAATAGACAAAATGCAAAACCGTAACTTTAACATTTTTTTCTCTTTTTTGTTTTTTTTGAATGACCGAGATGTCTGATTAATTTATGTGCATCTCAATTAATCTTTTAAGATTCTAAAATTACGTATCTGATTAAAACTTCAGTGATTACTCTTAATAATAGTTAAGAGTTGGCTAAGAGATCTGATGGCTACCCGAACTAATTTTCTAAGACCTTAAAACTATCATTATTAACAATCAAGAGTTTAGTAAGAGCTTCAATGGACATACCTATTAACAATCGAAGAAAAACTTAACTTATAATTACTTAAATAATATACTCCAAAGTCTTTTCGACGAATGAGATTGGTTACCATAACTTAACATTGTCTCTAGTTATTGATTTTTTGCAGAAACCGGAAAAATATCCTTAAATTAAATTTGCGAGGAAATACAATAACATCCATTGATCCAGTATTAGGCCCAGTTAAACAATTGAAGAAGTAGGACTTACTGGTTTATTCATCTGTTAAGAAAAATCCGTAGAAATTTTCTTCATCTGCACCCGATTTTCATATCTATAAATCTAATGTTTGTCCAAAATTTCCCAAACAGATGCAGCCAAATTCTCTGGGTTAGAGGCGCCATATTGCCGTATGGGAACAAATATAGAGGAGAAAAAAGAGAAGCCTAGACCTGGCTAGAAAGATAGATGATATATAGATGGATGGTATATATCAATCTGTATCGAACAAAGCAGAGATTAGGGCGGGGGTGGTGCCGTGGTGGTGTTGTGGTTCACGAGGCGGCGCTCTAAGGTGGCGGCACCGGACCTCATCACAATTCGCAACAAACACATTAATTTACCAGTTAATTAGATAAATTATAAAGAGTAAAGAATTTGTAATATTAATGAGGAAAATATATAACTACTCCAATTATGGCACAACGTGAGAGTCAGCACATGAGCTGCACCGTCCTATAATCGGCTCTTTTGCTCCCTATTTTATTGACCGTGTGACTGCGGGCTTTAATGGCGCGTTGACATGCATGCAACCTCCCCCCGTCATTTTTCCCATTGTGTTAATTTTGTAGAGCACTCAACCTTTCGTCTGTAATGTTATTTTCTTTAAGAGTTTCATATGATAGAATTCTCATATTGAATTGTTTTATCCTTTCGATCAGTCTGTGTACAAGTTAATATATTAAAACTTGAAAAAAGTAAGGAAAAATAATAATTAAAAGCAGAGTATTCATCAATCATGATCGACCTAAAAAGCAAGCAAGAAAACAAAGAATAAGATGTATTTATTATTAATCAACCAATTATGCAATTAACAAATCAAAGTAAAGAGAGAAAAAAATTTATGGATTAGAGTGAAGGATTTATCGGTTGATCACAAGTCAGAGAGACCATAAAATCCCCAACCCCCACCACCTATAAACACGGTAACCTAAGCCTGGCTTTGGCTAGACGATTCAACTTCATCTGTATTCATCTGCTACGACTTCAATTCCCAAAGCCTAGCCCTTACCTACACCTTACAAACCCAACCGGCTGTCTTTTTCTATCCAATGACAATTATACCCTTCCTTTCCTTCAATGGCGTATCCTACGTTTTCAGTCAGCGTCTGTCTGTCATTCCCGAGACATAAACATTAAGCTACAAATCAACCATTACAGAACAAACCAAAAAAGCAACATGGGTAAATTCGACTTTGTATGGTCTCTTCGTTTTTTAACGCAGAAGACGAAACCAAAGCCCCCCACCCTTTAGCCGCTACCCGCCATGTTTTCAGAGATGTTCAGCACCAAAAACAATACGCATGTCAATACACACTCTCTCTCTCTCACTCACTCTCTTTTTCTCCTTTTTGTTTGACTCTTTGTCTTTCTCTATAAAAGAGTAATAAACACCATGCAAAAAGTAAGTCACTTCCACTCTCATTTCTTTCTCTAAATCTTTATATATAAATTCTTCCTCTCTCATAAACCCTAAGCTTTTGTGATCCAAAAAACCCTATTCAGAAAAATACATGGAGAGTGACAGTATGGACATGGGTGGTTCCGGTGGGACTCTGGCCAGTTCAAGATGGAACCCAACAAAGGAGCAAATAAATATGCTTGAGAATTTGTACAAGCAAGGTGTTAGGACGCCGAGTGCAGAACAAATACAGCAAATAACTAATAGGCTTAGGACTTTCGGTCACATTGAAGGGAAAAATGTTTTCTACTGGTTTCAGAATCATAAGGCTAGGCAAAGGCAGAAGCAGAAGCAAGAGAGAATGGCGTTTTTCAATCGATATATTCATAAAGCTCAACCTGTGTTCCCTCCTTGCGCTAACGGTTTGTTTCGAATACAGCTTCGGACCATATTTTTATTTGATTCACGGAATTTATGAACAATATCCTTTCTTTCTTAATGGTTTAAGAGGACTTTTTGTTTTCCAATCTCCTTTCGATTATTTCGTAGTTCGTGTTTTTATTATTTTAATCCATTTTCAGTTTTCGTTCCAAGCTGTCTTTACATGCAAATGGGCTCGATTTCTGTGTTGAAGACTAAACCTGATGTGCGTCCTTTGTTTAGTGGTTTTTTTGGAGGATTCTTACGAACTTTTTTGTTTGTTCTTTTTTTCATTAATTTCTTTTTAAATTCAACCCTTTTATTTTGGATTTAAGATTAAAATTATCCCTGTAATCTGTGTGTAGCTTTCTGGCATTGTTCATTTCATGAATATTTGCTTGATGCACTTCTTTAAGATTCATTTTTTAGTTTTTGTTCACTTACTTACTGGTATGAATTGTCACTTTTCAACTACTATTTCGTTGAATTTTCCTTCTCTTTTGCCCATTTATGCGGAGTAAACGTGTTTAACAGGGAAGTCTCTTTTTTCAGTCCAATACTTATTCTCACTGCATGCAAATTTCTTTTTGTTCATCAATTGTCGTATTATGTAACATGGTGTGTTTTTTCTTCAGTTTGTGGTCCATATTACTTACCGCGGAGCGAAATAGGGTTCTATCCACAATGTCCAAAGGTGCTACTTCCCGTTCCCGGTGGCGCTAAGAGGAGACCAAAAGTTGAGGAACAAAAAGAGAATACAAGAGTTCTTGGAGGTTCACTGTATGATCCTGAGCAATATGACTACTGTGTCATGATGCAAATGAAAAATATTAACGAAGGCGGCATTGACAATAATCAAGAAACGTTGCCTCTCTTCCCCTTGCACCCAACTGGAATTTTACAAGGAAGAACAAGTACAACCCCTTCTATCGGTTCGACTTCTAGCTCCTCTGAAACTAACACTGCCATCGAAGACGGTTCCTGTGATCAACCCTTCTTTGATTTTTTCTCAGGTCGAGGATGTGAAAATGACTGAAAGGTATAAGGGACTGCACTAACATGCATACACTACTGCTAAATAACTACTGGTTTTCTCTAAGCTCTTCTAGTTTGGGATTGTGAGCGGTAACAAGTGATGGATTTTTTTCTTTTTTTTCCTGCTTTTTCACTCTTGCTAATGTGTATTACTTTAAGAAAAATCCGTAGAAATTTTCTTCATCTGCACCCGATTTTCATATCTATAAATCTAATGTTTGTCCAAAATTTCCCAAACAGATGCAGCCAAATTCTCTGGGTTAGAGGTACCATATTGTCGTATGGGAACAAATATAGAGGAGAAAAAAGAGAAGCCTAGACCTGGCTAGAAAGATAGATGATATATAGATGGATGATATATAGCAATCTGTATCGAACAAAGCAGAGAATAGGGCGGGGGTGGTGCCGTGGTGGTGTTGTGGTTCACGAGGCGGCGCTCTAAGGTGGCGGCACCGGACCTCATCACAATTCGCAACAAACACATTAATTTACCAGTTAATTAGATAAATTATAAAGAGTAAAGAATTTGTAATATTAATGAGGAAAATATATAACTACTCCAATTATGGCACAACGTGAGAGTCAGCACATGAGCTGCACCGTCCTATAATCGGCTCTTTTGCTCCCTATTTTATTGACCGTGTGACTGCGGGCTTTAATGGCGCGTTGACATGCATGCAACCTCCCCCCGTCATTTTTCCCATTGTGTTAATTTTGTAGAGCACTCAACCTTTCGTCTGTAATGTTATTTCCTTTAAGAGTTTCATATGATATAATTCTCATATTGAATTGTTTTATCCTTTCGATCAGTCTCTAAAAAAGTTAATATATTAAAACTTGAAAAAAGTAAGGAAAAATAATAATTAAAAGCAAAGTATTCATCAATCATGATCGACCTAAAAAGCAAGCAAGAAAACAAAGAATAAGATGTATTTATTATTAATCAACCAATTATGCAATTAACAAATCAAAGTAAAGAGAGAAAAAAATTTATGGATTAGAGTGAAGGATTTATCGGTTGATCACAAGTCAGAGAGACCATAAAATCCCCAACCCCCACCACCTATAAACACGGTAACCTAAGCCTGGCTTTGGCTAGACGATTCAACTTCATCTGTATTCATCTGCTACGACTTCAATTCCCAAAGCCTAGCCCTTACCTACACCTTACAAACCCAACCGGCTGTCTTTTTCTATCCAATGACAATTATACCCTTCCTTTCCTTCAATGGCGTATCCTACGTTTTCAGTCAGCGTCTGTCTGTCATTCCCGAGACATAAACATTAAGCTACAAATCAACCATTACAGAACAAACCAAAAAAGCAACATGGGTAAATTCGACTTTGTATGGTCTCTTCGTTTTTTAACGCAGAAGACGAAACCAAAGCCCCCCACCCTTTAGCCGCTACCCGCCATGTTTTCAGAGATGTTCAGCACCAAAAACAATACGCATGTCAATACACACTCTCTCTCTCTCACTCACTCTCTTTTTCTCCTTTTTGTTTGACTCTTTGTCTTTCTCTATAAAAGAGTAATAAACACCATGCAAAAAGTAAGTCACTTCCACTCTCATTTCTTTCTCTAAATCTTTATATATAAATTCTTCCTCTCTCATAAACCCTAAGCTTTTGTGATCCAAAAAACCCTATTCAGAAAAATACATGGAGAGTGACAGTATGGACATGGGTGGTTCCGGTGGGACTCTGGCCAGTTCAAGATGGAACCCAACAAAGGAGCAAATAAATATGCTTGAGAATTTGTACAAGCAAGGTGTTAGGACGCCGAGTGCAGAACAAATACAGCAAATAACTAATAGGCTTAGGACTTTCGGTCACATTGAAGGGAAAAATGTTTTCTACTGGTTTCAGAATCATAAGGCTAGGCAAAGGCAGAAGCAGAAGCAAGAGAGAATGGCGTTTTTCAATCGATATATTCATAAAGCTCAACCTGTGTTCCCTCCTTGCGCTAACGGTTTGTTTCGAATACAGCTTCGGACCATATTTTTATTTGATTCACGGAATTTATGAACAATATCCTTTCTTTCTTAATGGTTTAAGAGGACTTTTTGTTTTCCAATCTCCTTTCGATTATTTCGTAGTTCGTGTTTTTATTATTTTAATCCATTTTCAGTTTTCGTTCCAAGCTGTCTTTACATGCAAATGGGCTCGATTTCTGTGTTGAAGACTAAACCTGATGTGCGTCCTTTGTTTAGTGGTTTTTTTGGAGGATTCTTACGAACTTTTTTGTTTGTTCTTTTTTTCATTAATTTCTTTTTAAATTCAACCCTTTTATTTTGGATTTAAGATTAAAATTATCCCTGTAATCTGTGTGTAGCTTTCTGGCATTGTTCATTTCATGAATATTTGCTTGATGCACTTCTTTAAGATTCATTTTTTAGTTTTTGTTCACTTACTTACTGGTATGAATTGTCACTTTTCAACTACTATTTCGTTGAATTTTCCTTCTCTTTTGCCCATTTATGCGGAGTAAACGTGTTTAACAGGGAAGTCTCTTTTTTCAGTCCAATACTTATTCTCACTGCATGCAAATTTCTTTTTGTTCATCAATTGTCGTATTATGTAACATGGTGTGTTTTTTCTTCAGTTTGTGGTCCATATTACTTACCGCGGAGCGAAATAGGGTTCTATCCACAATGTCCAAAGGTGCTACTTCCCGTTCCCGGTGGCGCTAAGAGGAGACCAAAAGTTGAGGAACAAAAAGAGAATACAAGAGTTCTTGGAGGTTCACTGTATGATCCTGAGCAATATGACTACTGTGTCATGATGCAAATGAAAAATATTAACGAAGGCGGCATTGACAATAATCAAGAAACGTTGCCTCTCTTCCCCTTGCACCCAACTGGAATTTTACAAGGAAGAACAAGTACAACCCCTTCTATCGGTTCGACTTCTAGCTCCTCTGAAACTAACACTGCCATCGAAGACGGTTCCTGTGATCAACCCTTCTTTGATTTTTTCTCCGGTCGAGGATGTGAAACTGACTGAAAGGTATAAGGGACTGCACTAACATGCATACACTACTGCTAAATAACTACTGGTTTTCTCTAAGCTCTTCTAGTTTGGGATTGTGAGCGGTAACAAGTGATGGATTTTTTTCTTTTTTTTCCTGCTTTTTCACTCTTGCTAATGTGTATTATGAGAAAGGCAACCGCTATGTGGAAATGCGGATGGGTGATCTAGCTGTGTTTTGTGGTTTTCTTTTTCGGTATTTCTTGTTATTGTGATGTATTTGTCTCTTTTTTCTTTTTCTCTGTTTGGATTAGGGGATCAATAATATATTGTGGAAAAAATTGGATGATCTGAATTCATTTTTGAGTATTAAATTTGCAGAATAAAAGGCAAAGGTCGAATATTTAATTATTTCACGACTTGAGGTACCTATAGCAATATCATTCGGTGATACGAGCACTAAACCTGCTTGGTGGCTGCATGGCTCTATTAGTATATTATACGCATACAATAATAATAATAATAATAATGTGATTTACTAAAGAGTAATGTTACAGTTATCGATGGGTGTGTACCGAATTTGTGCATCGAATGACGTGACAAAATCCTAACCGTTGATTTATTATTAGTTAATATTAATCAACGGTCAGGATTTTGTCACGTCATTCGGTGCACAAATTCGGTGTAAACTTTTCGATAACTCTATCATTTTCTTTTACTAAAATATATCTTGCTCTAATATTGGGATGAATTAAATGGTTGATTCTGTTTATCTTCTCCATCCTCCAATTCAGCAACTGATTTTAAAATTTCGAGATAGCAACATTAATTGATATAGGAGTGATCACTGGAGTTTGTACCCGATAATTTTAGTATCTTGAAAAATTAGTGAGGTATGCGTAAATTGGTCTGGACACTTTCGGTCATTAAAAAAACATTAATTGATATATAAATTCACTTGTTATTTTCAATAACTAAACAAAGTGCATGGCATGCAAAGAAGAAAATTCCCTGAATGATTTAGTTAACTGAGCACATTTTAATTTAGTTTATAATGTTTGAACAAAATGTAAGAACAAACACGTTTTCCAGAATGTAAAGCGTGAGGAAAAAAAAACGTTTTTATCGCAAAACACTTCCTCTCGAAACTCCCAAATGCTCCGTTTGCCAATTGCTATTGGGCTGGGCTTCCAAGGCCCTTCTAGATATAATGAAAGACCCACCACCTAGAAACTATCTCAATCAAACCCTTTAACGCCTCCTGCCGTCACCGTTACTCCTCTGGTCCCTGCCGAAATTAAAAACTGTTACGGTGACTGCCAGATAACGTCAATATACGGAGTCAGCGTTCATCACCGAGTTAAACAATCTTTCTAACAGAAACCGTTAACTTTCTTTTCCTCGTCAAATTCTCTCTCTAGTTTTTGCTTATTGGAGAGATGAGGATTTGGTAGAGAAAAAGATCTCTGTTTCTTTGTGGATTCTAATCCAAACCTCAAAAGGTAATCTCTCAAGATCATCTTTCATGTTTAACTTCTTCTTCTCTTTCGATTCATACTTTTTTTTGTTTGTTTTTGAATCTTGTATAGAGGTAACCCTTGTTTTTGTTCAGACTTTTATTTTGTTTTGGTATTTCACTAGTTAGACAAAAAGAAAGAAAGAATTAATCTTGATTACAGTATTCATCAATATAATACATGGTTTATCAAACGTTAAGTGAACGATGTTAATTTGAGGGGTTTACTGTTTTTTTGTTAAAAAACAAAGTTGATTTATATGGGTGCTTGGATTGACTTTGGTGGGATTGGAAATTGATTTTTACACCTGAAACAAAAGTAACTATATAGTGGATACAGTTTAAAAATGGGGGAAGATTTGCTTACGGGGTTGTCTATGGAGAATCACCACCCATCGACACTGTTATCAATGGATTCGAGTGCAATAGCACATGAAGAATTGGGCAGAGAGATGAATCGTTCAATGATTCTCTCTAGACCACCTGATATTAATCTCCCGTTATCAGCGGAACGTAGTCCTCCACCACAATTGTGGAATTCGGATCCTTTTGATATACTGGAGGTTGGCCTTGGACCTCAAATTAACGAGTCTGATACTTTGCTCAACGCATCGAAGACCGGGCGTAAATGTGCCAAGAGATTAGATAGTGTATGGGGTGCTTGGTTTTTCTTTACTTATTATTTTAAGCCTGTGTTGAATGAGAAATCTAAGGGAAAAGTGATTAGGGATAGTAATGGGGTTTTGGGTTTTGATAAGTCAGATCTTGAGCTTGAGGTGTTCTTGGTTCAGCATGATATGGAGAATATGTATATGTGGGTTTTTAAGGAAAGGCCTGAGAATGCATTAGGTAAGATGCAGTTGAGAAGTTATATGAATGGGCATTCACGCCAGGGAGAGCGTCCGTTTCCATTCAGTGTTGATAAGGGGTTTGTTCGGTCTCACAGAATGCAGCGGAAGCATTATAGGGGCCTTTCAAATCCACAGTGTGTGCATGGGATTGAGGTTGTTTCATTGCCAAATCTCAAGGGTCTTGATGAGGAAGAACAAAAGAGGTGGATGGAACTTACAGGTAGGGATTTGAACTTCTCAGTCCCACCTGAGGCTAGTGAATTTTCTTCATGGAGGAACCTTCCCAACACAGAATTTGAGCTTGAGAGACCTCTTCCTACATTAAAGACTCAGCAGCAACCTCATCCAAAAAAATTGCTTAATGGTTCTGGTTTAAATTTGTCAACTCGGCCTATGAGCCATGCAAATGGTGGTGGAATAGATCTCTCACATGTATGCAACAAGAGGAAGAAGGATTTATTTCTACAGGGGAACGATGAAGATTGTTGTTTGGTCATTAATAATCAACATAATGATAGAGTTCAGGATGCAGAGATGCACCCCATTGAACCGTCATGGTTAAATGAGTTTAGTGGGGTTATGAAGAATGTTTATGGGCCAGTTACGGCTGCAAAAACCATATATGAGGATGAGCAAGGATACCTAATAATTATCAGTTTACCATTTGCTGATCTTAAAAGGGTGAAAGTCACTTGGTGGAATAATCTCACCCATGGTGTTGTAAAGATATCATCTGTGAGCACAGCCTGCATGCCATTTATCAAGAGAAATGATAGGACATTCAAGCTTACAGATCCATCCCCTGAGCATTGTCCTCCTGGGGAGTTCATTAGAGAAATCCCTCTACCAACGAGGATTCCTGATGATGCCAAGCTAGAAGCATACGGTGATGAAACAGGAACTGGTCTAGAAATCATGGTGCCTAAGCATCGTGTAGGACCAGAGGAACATGAAGTTCGTGTTTGCCTTCGCCCTCATCTTAGTGCAAATGAGCTCCTGTTATCTTGACAGAGGCCTGTACTGGAAAATGTAAGAGTAGTTATCATCAGTTTTCCATTATTTTGTATCAAAGAAAGGAAAAAGTTTAAATCATGCAATATAAATGACTTCTTTTTTTTTTCTTCAAATTTTTGATCTCGTTTTTAATTCCAATGATCTCTTAAACTGATAGTTTGGTGTTTGTTTTTATGCATATGAATAGCTTTGGTTTGGGATTGCTCCTGAGCTTTCCAGGTAGAAGTTGTTGGTAAAGTGTTTTAAGGACAATGCCACCTCATCATGTAGTGGATTTCTACTAGAGTTTAGAATGAAGTTGTTAAGAGAGTATATTTTATCCCTTTGGAGACCTCGAGCGAGTGTTTTCTGGCTTATGGCTTATTGCTGTGTTCTAATGCTGTATGAGAAAATATGGGATAGAAGTATCGATATCGTTAGGAAAATTGTACCATGTTCTCAAGTCAGTTGCTTGCCAGCATAGTTACTGTATATATGTTTTAGATTATCAATGTTTAACATCTTGTCATGTTCCTTTTGTTTTATTGGTGCCCAGCAATTTGATCCCTTGAATTGGTCCGAAGTTGACAAATGTATATTGTTGGAGCATCTATTTCAAAGATGGACATAGGTAATGTTGTAGATTCCATATTCTGAGTCTGGGTCTAGCCATGCAGCAGTTAGAGGAATTCTTCTCCCTTGGCGAACGCTGTTAACTATCACAACCAGAGCGTCATGGCTGAGGACTGAGGTACACATTTGCTTTGCATTGGAAAACTGTGAAAAACTGTAGGAATTGAAATACAAATATACTTAAAATCACTTCTCTACTGGTCCTACTAGTTTCCTAAAGTATTTTTATCTCCAGGCTTTAAGCATAAGAAATTCAACACTGACATGCCCATGCTGATCTATCTCCAATTCCAGGTCTCAGACTTTCTCTGAGTTTATAACATAACTGAGACTGTAATTTATAAGTCTGCCAATTTGTCACATCTTGAAGGAACTGCATGAATTTCCAAGGACAGAGTCTTAGGAAAGTGAAGGGCAAATTACGCAGAACAATATCTTAGCAGAATAAAACAGCTACCACACAATAAAGGATTGAAAGGGGAAAAAAATTACATTACTATAAAGAAAAAGATTAAAAACAGGGCCACATCATATAGTTCGAACACCAACCAACTGAAATTCATATAAAAAAAAAAAAGCGAAGACACCATATTCATCAGCCCAAACCATCAAATCCTATTACTTAATCCACTTCCTCAATCTTGGGGCCAGCACCACTTCCGGCACCAGTAGAAGGACCATCCTCCTCCATGCCTCCGCCCATATCACCACCAGCTCCCTGATACATCTTCGCAATTATTGGGTTGCAGATGCTCTCCAGTTCTTTCATCTTGTCTTCGAACTCATCTGCCTCTGCAAGCTGGTTTCCATCAAGCCAATGAATAGCCTCATCAATGGAATCTTCAATCTTCTTCTTGTCGGCAGCAGGAAGCTTAGCACTGATCTTCTCATCCTTAATAGTGTTCCTCATGTTGTAGGCATAGTTCTCAAGCGCATTCTTTGCCTCCACCTTCCTCTTGTGCTCCTCGTCCTCTGCCTTGTATTTCTCTGCCTCTTGCACCATCTTCTCAATTTCTTCCTTGGAGAGTCTACCCTTGTCGTTTGTAATAGTGATCTTGTTCTTCTGTCCAGTGGTTTTATCCTCGGCAGAGACATTCAAAATACCATTAGCATCAATGTCAAAGCAGACATTGATTTGTGGAACTCCCCTCGGAGCAGGAGGAATGCCAGAGAGCTCAAACTTGCCCAGCAAGTTGTTATCACGAGTTCTTGAACGCTCACCCTCATAGACCTGAATTAACACACCGGGCTGGTTATCAGAGTAGGTGGAGAACACCTGTTCCTTCTTTGTGGGGATGGTTGTGTTCCTCGGAATCAGTACAGTCATAACTCCACCAGCAGTCTCCAAACCAAGAGATAGAGGTGTGACATCGAGCAACAAGAGATCCTGCACCTTCTCGTTACCCTCACCACTTAAGATAGCAGCCTGAACAGCCGCACCATAAGCAACAGCCTCGTCGGGGTTGATGCTCTTGCAAAGCTCCTTCCCGTTGAAAAAGTCCTGTAGCAATTGCTGAACCTTGGGAATCCTGGTGGACCCACCAACAAGAACCACATCATGGACCGAGCTCTTGTCCATCTTAGCATCTCTCAAACACTTCTCTACAGGCTCCATGCACTTCCTGAACAGGTCCATGTTCAGTTCCTCAAATCTAGCTCGGGTGATAGTTGTGTAAAAGTCGACACCCTCGTACAAAGAATCAATTTCAATTGTAGTCTGTGCAGTAGACGACAATGTTCTCTTGGCCCTCTCACAGGCAGTTCTCAACCTTCTCAAGGCTCTAGGGTTACCACTAATATCCTTCTTATGTTTCCTCTTAAATTCTTGAACAAAATGGTTTACCATTCTGTTATCAAAATCTTCACCACCCAAGTGAGTATCACCAGCAGTGGATTTCACCTCAAAAATACCCTCTTCAATGGTCAAAAGAGATACATCAAATGTACCACCACCAAGATCAAAGATAAGCACATTCTTTTCACCAGAACTACCAGCTTTCTTGTCAAGCCCATAAGCGATAGCGGCGGCAGTTGGCTCATTGATAATACGCATCACATTAAGGCCAGCAATAACACCAGCGTCTTTTGTGGCTTGACGCTGCGAGTCATTGAAGTAAGCCGGCACTGTAACGACGCCATTTTTTATAGTGGTGCCTAGATACGCCTCAGCAATCTCTTTCATCTTAATGAGAACCATTGAGGAGATTTCTTCCGCGGAAAATTGCTTCTCCTCACCCTTATAATTGACAACAATCATGGGCTTGTCACCTGGGCCAGCAATGACCTTGAATGGCCATAGTTTCATGTCAGCTTGTACTGAAGCATCACTGAATCGTCTCCCAATCAAACGCTTGGCATCTGCATACCATCCAATACGACAATTCAGTCAAAACATAATTCTAAAATTCCAATAACTCAAACTAAAACTTAACACTGCTCTGTTTGGCTCATCGAAAATTAGCAGACAGTGTAAAATTATAAAGCTTACGCTAGTGTAATATGTTACAATTATCTTAATATTATGATAATATTTTTCAACTCCTACGAAAAAAAGTAGTGCTTCCTTTTTTTTTTTTTTTTTTTTATATGTCAGCCATATAATAGTTTCAACAACTTGAAAAAATTTCAATTCTTCCAAATATTAAAGAACAAAAAAGGGCACACTACCTATCCATTACGCTATTTTGATGTGCAAATATTAAATAGTATAGTCAATAATTATCAAATTCCTGAATATTGCAAAGATTTAATTTTGCTAAATTTGTATTCTTTTAAATTCATACAACAGCACCCTAACTATTCTCATCTTCTACAAAAAGAAGAGATAATACCTAAGAGCCGGAACTAAAGTAAAGAAAACACAACATAAATTCAAATTCGCGGGAAAAACTAAGAAGCAGCAGTTGAAAACGTACCAAAAACAGTGTTGGTTGGGTTCATCGCGACTTGATTTTTTGCTGCATCACCGATCAGACGCTCGGTGTCGGTGAAAGCAACATACGACGGTGTCGTTCTGTTACCCTGATCATTAGCTATAATCTCCACTCGATCGTGTTGCCAAACACCTACGCATGAGTACGTCGTCCCCAGATCAATTCCAATGGCAGGACCCTCTCCTTTACCAGCCATCGCTTACCCAGAATAACTAACCAGAACTCGAGGGAAAAAAAAAAAAAAGAAAACAAAGAATTTGATAGCTTCGCTTTGTGGTGCTTGTTGATTCACTCTCTGTGAAAAGTAAGGAGCAGGGCAGTGTTTATAAATAAAATTTGATTTCTGGAAGGTTCTGATCGTGGAGTGTGAACCGTTGGATTAAAATTACTGGTTTAAGACAGGCAAGGTCTCCCCCGCTTTCTTTTTTGGAATTCTAGTGGGTTCGAGAGATTTCTATGTTACGTGGCCGCAGATACTTAGCCGTAGCATGTTTGCATCTTTTGTCATTGGTTGATTTCTATTTGTTAATGCTGTATTGCTGTGTGATTGGATAATTTTAGTTACTGTTTAATTTTTTCGGAATTTTTTAATTGCGTAAGGAAAGTATACGCGGTCTCATCATTCGCTTTTTCTTTTTCTTTTTTATATTAAACTGTCTATAATTGAAAAAGAAAGTTACTATTAACTAAAATTGACATTCACTCACGTTTCTTCGACGAAATCACCGCTATCGCGATTATAAGCCGTACTTTTCTAGATTAAGGGTCTGTTTGATGTTTTATGGTACCAGTTATAAGGATAAATTATTATAGTGAATCATCGTAACGGTTTTGAGAAATTTTTAATAGTAGTTTTTAAAATATTCAACCTATATTTGAAAGTTTATTTTCTAATGGTTTCTGATAATTTTTTAAAATGATAAATTTATATATATGTTCATAAAAATACTCAACTTCAACTAATACTTTGGGAGTTTTTTTTTTTAATTATCAATACTTAGTATCAAAGTTCCCTTCCAAGTTTAATTTATTTATAAGTTCTTTTATTGTATATTATTTAATTTATTTGTATGTTATCAGTTAAATATGTAATTTAGTTGATGACATTCGTTATGCTGACACTATTAGCATACTTGATAATTTGACTTCCACTCAACAAATAGATTTGCTGAAAATATATGCAATAGAAACCAAATTGAGCTTCCCACATTACCAATGAGTTCGGTTTTCCATTGAATAACCCAATTCATATCCAAGAACAACAAACTCTGAAAGAGAACTGTTCAGAAAATATAATAGTGGAAAGGGGTTTCTTTGGGATAAAATATTTAAACCGGCCAAAACACCCCGATTTTGGGTGTTTTATAAACCCCTCAAAAATATACTACACTGGTTTTGGGGGGTTTTTAAACCAGTCAAAACAAGTTTATAAAAAATTTGGGAAGTAATGGTTTTAGAACACCTTAAAACCAGTCTAATTAAAAACCCCATAAAACCGGTGAAAAAAAACTCACAAGCAGACCCTAAGGTAATTCTATTAACCCATTATTTGATTTGAAATTTTTATAAAAATAATCTATAATATAGCGAGTAAACTTTTTTTTTTTTTTTTGGGCCAACCGATAGTTTAATGTCACTTTCTGACTTATAAACTTTTAAAATATCACTTTATTATTCAAATTTATATTCAGTTTTCGATTCTGATATTATTACGACCCTAACACCACTATTATTCTCTTCCTTGATCTTTACTCATCAAAGTCCCTCAAACCTACTCTTGAACAAATAAGTAATTAGGGTTTGCATAGTCATACTCCCCAAGTCAAATTCTGATAAATCTCAAACACCAAAATCTAACATTTTACTACCAAAACCAAAAGACTCATCAGTCTCTTCTCTTCAAAAGCCCTAACAGTCTAGAGTGAGTTTGTTTTTTATTCGCTGTCGAAATATAAATATAGGTAGTAAAATAGTATTTTAAAAATCTGTAGATGGAAACATATCCTTAAGTCATTATTTGGGTGGGAAAAAGTCGTTAACTCATAATATAACTATATCAAATTATATATTGGACTCTTGAATGAGTCATTGATTAAAAATTTCTATCTAGACTATAGTTGAATATTTTATCTGATGTGATAAGAGGAAATAAATGTACTCTTTTAAAGTGGATTTTAGAATATGGTGGTAAATAACAATAATGCTTCAGACACCGAGACTGTGCACCGAATTTTTACACTAAATTACGTGTCACCTGACTCAGACTAGCCACATATCACTTTAACAAATATTTTGCGAGTGAACGGCCGTTCATCAACTATGGATGACCGTTCACTGTTATTGGACGGACGTCCATCAAAGGTGGATGCCTTTCCATGCGAAATGAATGATGGACTCCCGTCCATATTATATGGACGGGAGTCCATTTACTATGGACGGGTGTCCACCTATAATGGACGCCCGTCCATAGTTTAAATTTAAAAAATTTGAAAACAAAAATCATGGACTCCCGTCTATATTCAATTGACGGGGGTCCATACTAATGGACGGGCGAACAACTTTAATGGATGCCTGTCCAAACTTTAAATTAAAAAAAAAAAATTATAAACAAAATTAATGGATTCCCGTTCAAATGTTATGGACGAAGTGGACGCCCGTCCATACTTTAAATTAAACAAAAACTTATAAAACAAAATTTTTGGACGCCCTCCATACGTTATGGACGGGCGTCCCTAATAAATGTTTAATGTGTCACCTAAAATGAAATTTAGGTTAAATTAAATTGGGTCCCAAATTAATTTTAAAAAACTGCAAGCATGCTTTTCTTCTTCGTCTTCATTCCCCATCTTCGCTCTTCTTCTTTGTCTTCAGTCCTCATCTCCGTTCTTCTTCTTCATCGAAGTTCTTCATCTGCCGCTATTCTTCTTCAAGTTCCTCATCAACCATTATTATTGTAAGTGTTTTAGTCTATTTGATTTTTGTTCATCACATTTTATTGGTTTCGATTGATGATTGAGCTTGTTTTACAACGTTCACTTCTTTGTCTTGGTGTGATGTGTTCATTTTTTTTTTTTAGTGTATATTTTTTGAAAAACAGTTTAGTTACTAGTTAGAAAATGTTGACCTTGTAGAAAATGATGAAGATTTTTCACCTGCAAGTTTTTCACCCTTAAGTATTGTGTGCAGTGTTAGCCAGAAGATAATTTGTACATTTTGTTGGATCCAGGTTGTAAATTGGGTATGTGTTTTTTTTTATTGTTGACATGTTTAATTTAATATTAATTGATATTAATATGAAGGATGAATGTGGTTGGATTGAAGTCGGTGGGATCCATATTGTAAATTGGGTTATGTGTTTTTATTGTTGATGTTGATGTTGATGCGTGATTTTGACACCAACGAAACGCACGTGTGAAATGTTGAGTTGGCCCCAAAAGACACACGTGAATGGTTTGGAAAAATGAAAGTAAATGCAGTGAGAAAAGAGTTTTAAAGTGGTTCGGATGCTAAGGAAGCAAATCCTACGTCCACTGATGTTTTTATTAATGATAAGGGTCAGGTCGCTTTAGATGACTGACTTTATATTGATGATACAAGGTATCAAAGACTATCTATTCTAGAGAGAGAGAGAGAGTTTTGTCAAGAGTAAAATGTGCGAATCCCTTTAATGAGAGAGGAGCTCTCATTTTATAGTGGGATGTCTTGAGGTAATGATCACTGAATCTGCAAGTTGGTGGGATGATCCGTGCAAATCCTTCCTTTAGAGCAATTCACGTGATTTGCTGCAGGGATTGGACATGCGAGATCATCACAACTCCTTGCTGGCCTACCGTGCATCCATTACTCTGACGAAGGCAAGCTATGGGTGCCACCATGATCACACGAAGCAGTTGCGTCAGAATGGCAGTAGGTTCTTCCTGAGGTCTGGCCTTTCGCACTTAACTGGGCGCCACGTCAGCCCTATGTTCCCAGGCATAACAGAAGTTTCCTAGTTTTTAAAGTTCGAGAATCGAACCTTGGAAACTACAAGTCATGCCGCAATTAGATGATTCCTGAAAATTCTAAAAATTCCAAAAATTCTGGAAATTCTGACCTATCTGAAAGTAGGTCGGGACGACACTTTTTTCAAGAACGACCTCGCATGCTCATTGTTTGTAGGGGACGAACGACCTGATTTCGTCAGACACCACCTGTTGTTCTTTTAATATGGTTGCATTTAATGAAGCAGCCCCTATGCTGACAGGTGTGCCCTGTGTGTGATAAGTGCCAGCCAGATGCATTAAATGCGTTATACGCTAACATAGGACGCCTTATCAAGACATTAAATGCGCAGTACGTTGGAACGATACCCCTTATTAGAGCATTAAATGTGGATTTGAAACGCAATTAATGCTATGAGAAAGAGAGAATGGCAGCCGTTTGGGCTTTTCAACGGAAGAGATGAAGGTCTGACTTTATCCAGTCGTGACGCTCATTCTTCCCCGTTGATGCGTGACACGTGGCCGTGATCAACGGTGAGAAACCTTTGCCGCCCAAACATCGTTTCGATTTTGAGAAACCCAAGCGTTGATTCATACGCTATAAAAACCTCGAGTCGTTCTCAGGCAATGTCACCAGAGCCTTTTTTCTTAGAGAGTAAAAGATTTTTGCAAACTTGGAATCTCTGCCTTTCAAACCAGCGTTTTTCTGGCATTCAAAGCGGAAACCATTCTCACACTCCATAAGGTAGGAGCTTCTCCCTGTTTTTGTTTCATTATATTTCCGTGGTTGAATGGCGTTTGTCTTCCAATAGCCTATCGGAGACGAGATGCTTAGGTCTGGTTCGAGCCATGAATGGCGGCTTGAATCATGCCGTTAAGGTTTCTTTTGGGATTCTGGGAGTTTGTTTCCTCCCACATCATTGTACGAAATAACGTACAGTGGCTAAATGACCCTTTTGCTTGTCGCCTTTGTAGACTGGCAAAATAGACCCCTCAACAACCAGATCCAAACAAGGAATCGGTTCATCCCCACAGGGTGCTCCAAACATCCCTATCAAGGTCTTCTCGGTGCTTACTGGGGAAGAGCTTGAGAGGGTAATAAAGCAATGCGCTATCGAGGTGGATGCTTTCCTCGATGTAGCGCACTCATCGCGGTACCCGCTAAGTGGTCTGGCCGCGGCCTCCAAGGAGATCATCAAGGGTGGGGGACTGATCCCCTTCCACCCTTTTATCAGGTCGTTTTTGGACCACTTCGGGGTTGCGTTGATGCAGTTGACCCCGAATGCGTACGTCATTGCTGTTGTAATGTACATCGCATGCCAAGAGAACGGAC